ATAATCAACACATCTTGATAGCATGTTCAGTCAATTTCAGACTGCAGAAGTTGGTAAAGATCTTCAGTTTCCTTATCTTTGGCTTTGGTGGTTGGTGCATAAATTTGAATAATAATAGTATTAAAGGGTCTTCCTTGTAAGATATTATCCTATCACTGACACCATTGTACTTCATGATAGATTGAAACATTCTTTGTGACCATGAATGTCGTGCCATTCCTCTTCAATTTGTCATTCCTGGCATAGTAGTTCATATGGATGCCTGATTCAAAATAGCCAAAACCAGTTCATTTCAGCTCACTGATGTCTAAGATATCAATCTTTATGCCTTCCATTTCATGTTTGACAACTTCCAATTTTCCTAGATTCATACTTCATGCATTCCATGTTCCTGTTTTTAATGGATGTTTGCAGCTGTTTCTCCCCATTTTGAGTTGTGCCCCATCAGCAAATTGAGGTCCTGAAAGCTTTATTTCATCCACTTCATTAAGGTTGACTTTGAGGAGGCAGCTCTTCCCCACTCGTATTTTGACTGCCTTCTGACCTGAGGGGCTCATCTTTCAGCACATATCAGACAATGTTCCAGGGCTGTTCATCATATTTTCCAGTAATAGACACTGTTTCACTGCTATTAATAAGATTTTCACTGGCCAATTCTTTGAGAAGTGAATGGCCCCTTCCTTCTTCCAAGTCTGTCTTAGTCTGGAAGCTCTGTTGAAACCTGTCCACCATGGGTGACCCTGCAGGCATTTCTAATACCGGTGGCATAGCCTCCAGCCTTACAGCAACACACAAGCCACCACAGTAAGAGAGACTGACAGATGAGTGGTGGAGTGGTTGGACTTAGTAGATGAAAACTTTAAACCAAATATTACAAATATTTGTGTCCATTCCAAAGATGATCCAACTAAGAGCAGAAATTATTGAACAATACCATTAACATCATACACAAGTAAAATTTTGCTGAAGATAATTCAAAAACAGTTGGAGCAGCATATTGACAGGAAACTGCCAGAAATTCAAGCCAGATTCAAAAGAAGACCTGGAACAAAGAATATCATTGCTAATGTCAGATTTTGGCTGAAAGAAAAGAATATCAGGAAGATATTATCTGTGTTTTATTGACTATACAAAGGCACTTGACTGTGATGACATAACAAATTATGGATAACATTGCAAAGAATGGGAATTCCAGAACACTTAATTGTGCTCATTAAAAAAAACTGTACATAGACCAAGAGGCTGTCATTTGAACAGAACATGGGACTACTGCATAGTTTAAAATCAGGAAAGTGTGTGTCAGGGTTGTATCCTTCCACCATATTTATTCAATCTGTGTGTTGAGGAAATAATCCAAGAAGCTGGACTATATGAAGAATGCAGCATTAATATTGGAGGAGGACTCATTACCAACTTACAATATGCAGAAGACACAATCTTCCTTCCTGACAGTGAAGAAGACTTGAAGCACCTACTGATGAAAGGACTAATCCATGGAAATGGTATCATGCTTGGTAAAGTAGAGTCAGAGAAAAATGGGAAGATCCTCAGTGAGATAGATTGTCACAGTGGCTGTGGTGGTGGGATCAAGCATGGCAACAATTGTGAGGATGGTGCAAGACCAGGCAGTGTTTCATTCTGTTGTAAATAGGGTCATTATGAGTCAGATCCAACTTGATGGTACCTAACAACAACAACAACATTATAAATATGTTCAAACAACTGAAGAAAGTATGTTTAAATAATTAAAGCATAGGAACTATATCTCACCAAATAAGAAATGAAAGTTTCACTAGAGATTCTTCCCAACAAATTTGAATTGTCAGAATAATCAGATAACTTAAATCAGTTGAGATATAGCTGTAGAGTAGGAAAATGAAGGGGAAAAAAAACAGTTTCTGAGGCCTGTGAGACAACATCAAGCATACCAACATATGCATAATGGGAACCCCAGTGGATAGAAAGGGGCAGAAAAATATTGGAATAAAATAATGATTGAAAACTTCCCAAATTTGATGAAAAACATTAATTTACATATCCAAAATATTAATGAACTCCAAGTAAGAAAAAAATAACAGATATCAACACCCATACACATGGGAGCTCTGGTAGTGTAGTGCCTAAGGAACTTGACTGCTAACCAGAAGGCTGGCGGTTCAAACCCACCAGCCACTCCTCAGAAGGAAGGTTGGACAGTCTACTTCCACAGTGATACCACCTCAGAAACCCAAGGAGGGGTTGCTATGTGTTGGATCTGACTTGATGGCACATAACAACAACATACACATCATAATGAAACAAAAGTCAAAGACAGAGAAACTCTTGAAAGCAGCAAGAGAAAAATGACTTTACATATACAAAGTATCCTCAATAAGATTAGCAACTGACTTTTTATCAGATACCATGGCCAGAGACAATGCGATGATACATACAAAGTCTGAAAGAAAAAAAAATTGTCAACCAGAAATCCTTAATGAAGGAAATCTTTCCTTCAGAAATGAAGAAGGAGTAAAGGCATTCCCAGATAAATAAAAACTGAGCAACTTTGTTGCTGGCAGACTAACTGTATAAGAAATAGTAAAGGGAGTTCCTTAGGCTGAAATGAAAGAATAGTAGACAGTAACTCATATCTATATGAAGAAATAAGAGAGTATATGAAGAAGAACGTGGCATCAGGATTGGAGGAGCACTGGTTAACAACCTGTGATATGCAGACAACACAACCTTGCTTGCTGAGAGTGAACATGATTTTGAAGCACTTACTGATGAAGATTAAAGACTACAGTCTGCAGTATGGATAACACCTCAACATAGAACAAAAATCCTCATAACTAGGCCAATAAGCAGCATCATGATAAATAGAGAAAAGATGGAAGTTGTCAAAGATTTCATATTGTTTGATTCCACAGTCAGCACCAATGGAAGCAGCCCTGAGGAAATCAGACGATGTAGTGACTGGGAAAATCTGCTGCAAAAGACCTCTTTAAAGTGCTGACGAGCAGAGATGTCTCTTTGAAGACTAAGGTGAGCTTAACCCGAGCCATAGTGTTTTCAGTCACCTCATATGCATGTCAGAGCTAGGCAATGAAAAAGGAAGACCAAAGAAGAGTTGATGCCTTTGAATTACGGTATTGGTGAAGAATACCGAAAATACCATGGATTTGCAGAAGAACAAAGAAATCTGTCCTGGTTAAGTGCAGCCAGAATGCTTCTTGGAAGTGAGAATGGTCAGACTTCGCCTCACCTACTTTGGTCATGTTGTCAGAAGGGACCGTTCCCTGCAGAAGGAGATCATACTTGGTAAAGTGGAGCCAAAACCAAAAAACCAAACACGGTGCCGTCGAGTCAGAGCCAACTCATAGTGACTCCTCCTTGGATTTCCAAAGCAGTGTCACTACAGAAGCCCAATCTTCCTTCCAAGGAGTGGCTTGTGGGTTTCAACCACCAGCCTTCTGTTTGGCAGTCAAATGCCTTAGGCACTACACCACCAGTGGAGATGTATTGACACAGTGGCTGCAATGATGGGCTTAAGTATAGCAAGTATTGTGAGGCTGGTGCAGGACCAGAAAGTGTTTTGTTCTCTTATACATAGGATACCTGTGAGTCAGAGCCAAATCAATGGCACCTAACAACAACAACAGCAAAGATAATTATGTGGTTAAATACAAAACGCACTATAAACATATGTTTTAACTATTTCTTCCTCCTAACTTATTTAAAAGACACCGGAAAAATAGTCATTATAAAATTGCATTATTGAATTTATATCATATAAAGGTATAATTTGTATTACAGTAATATTGCAAAGGAGGAGGGAGGAAAGAAGCTAATTTGGAGCAAAGTTTCTGTATGTTATTGAAAGTAAGTTAATTGTCATCTGAACTAGATTGTTTTACGTTAAGATGCATATTGTAATCCTCCATGCAACCACTGAGAAAATAACTAAAAAAATTAAGAAGGAAAGAAAGGAGCTTTATGGTACCCTATAAAGTAAATGCTTAGTACAGAAAGGTATTAATAAACAGGAACAAAAAGGATATAATACATACAGAAAATAAATAGCAAAATAGCAGACATGAATCCTAGCATATGAAAATTATAGTATATGTAAGTGGGTTAAACACCCCCATTAAAAGACAGAGGCTGTCAGACTGGATTTTTTTTTTTTTTTTTTTTTTTTGAGGACCCAAATTAGATGAAATGGACAAATTCCTAGAGGAAAAAGTAATTATCAATACTCACAATAGTGTGAAAAAAATAAAATATTTAGGAATAAATTTATTAAAAGGATTGCAAGATTTGTATGCTGAAAATTACTAAATATTTTTAAAGGACATTAAAGAGTTTCTAAATACGTGGAAAAGGAGCTCTGGTGGCACAGTGGTTATTGGTTGGTAGTTCAATCCCACCAGCTGCTACGCTGGAGAAAGATATGGCAGTCTGCTTTCATAAATGTGTACAACCTTGGAAACCGTATGGAGCAGTTCCACTCTGTGCTATATAGTCACTATTAGTCAGAATCAGCTTGACAGCAGTGGATCTGAGAAATACGTGGAGAGGATTAAATACTATGGATTGGAAGACCCAGTATTATTAAGATGTCACTTCTCCCCAAATTGATCTATAAATTCAATCTCTACCAAAATCCCAGTAGGTTTTTTTTTTTTCCAGAAATTGTATATCGAAGTACAAATTACCTAAAATAGCCAAACAGTTTTGGAAAGAAAACAAATTATATTTGTTTTGGTTAGAAAAAGAGCAAGAAATTTTTAGTAATTTTTTTTTTTTTTTCCTAGTTGTTGTCTATATGGTGAGAGTATTGTAGGATTAGTGATGGGGGTAGAATTCTTGAGAAAGCAAAGATTTGAAATAACCATTGTGGGAACTTGGAAAGGGAAAAGAGAACAGGAAAGCAAAATGTGTTACTTCCTTTTCAGCATGCATAGTAACTGATATATTCCCATGTCAACTCACTAACCCAGTTTCTTTCTTTATTCTAGGTAACATTATGAATTATTTATTGGAAAGTAAAGAGTGTCAGAACTTCTGCATCATAGCACTTTCCATTAAAGTTAAGCAAGACAAAATAGTTTTTACTATTTTGTTCAATAATTTGGCATACCATTCAGCTGCAACATCCCTCGCGGTGTTAGACAACATTCTTTTTATGTCACTTTCTGGCCCCAATGCTTCCATTAGAGTCACAAACAAGCCTCAGCCTCTCCCTCTTCATGGTGCTAACATAGTGTATGTATGATTTTCCTTTCGCTGGAATTAAAACTTACTATATTCCCCTGTTGTCTGGCCATATACATTTGAAAATAACTATTGAAATCAGCTTTTTCCACTTCTATTTAATTTTCTGTAGGCCTGCAAATGGAATACAAGTAGCATTATGTTTGTCTTTGGGCATGGCTCTTTTGGCCAGTAGCTTTTGTCTTCAGACAGTGACTGAGACAATCACTAAGGCAAAGCACATCCAGTTTGTGAGTGGAGTCTGTGTTATTACTTACTGGCTCTCTGCTTTGTTATGGGATCTTACGTGCTTCTCCATTCCCTGCTGCTTACTACTGGTGAGTGTTAGCTGAAGTTGCGTGAAAGCTCATTTTCCTTATGGCTTCACAGAAAATTCTTGTTCTACTAATTGTATCTTAAAGTTTGTCAAGAAATTTGACATTCTGATGGCTTATTATGTCAGAGTGTGTATTGTGAAAATTTCATTATGAAAACATTCTTCCTCATATGCTTTCAATGTTTTTTTTTTGGGGGGGGGTTTGTTTGTTTGTTTGTTTTTTTTTTGTATTTGCTCAACAATATGCCCTAACCAAAAACTGCTCTACAAGTGGAAAGGTTATTACTTGTCCCTCAATAATCATAATAGCGAAGCCTCTGCACACTAATTTGCAATGATGAGCTCTCTGGTGAAAATGGATAGGAGCATACAACTTAGAAGCAAGATTTATGTGAGACTTCCTGATAATGTTCACCCCTCATTTTCATACCCAAAATCCAAGATGGCTAGATTTGTAAAGCAGAACTCAGCCACTCAATTGTAGACAATGAGAAAGTGGTATAGGGAGTGAGCTTGTAAGGATGCTCTTGCTGTTGTTATGTGCCATTGAGTCATCTCCAACTCATGCGTACCCCTCCTTGGGTTTCCGAGGCAGTATCACTATGGAAGTAGATTGCCCAATCTTCCTTCCGAGGAGTGGCTGGTGGATTTGAACCACCAACCTTCTGGTTAGCATTCAAGTGCCTTAGACACTATGCCACCAGAACTCCCTGTAAGGATGCACAGCATCTTTTAATGTGATGATTTTGCTCATTAGCAATCTGTGTTAACTTCTTATGTCTTGTATGCATGGTGTGTTGTGGGTAAGAGAGGTGTGAGAGCTATCTAGTTAAAAGTGATTTAGAACAATGGATAAAGAAGATAAAGTCTTTGTCCTTCCATAGGTACTGGGGATATAAATATGAATAAGCTAGTGTAGCAGTTCAGATAGTTCACAGTGGCCATGGGGTCCATCATAAGTTGGAGCCGATTCAGTGGCAACTAACAACAAAGAATAACTGGCATGAAAATAAATCTTTATAAAAGACCATTTTAATTACTGTAAGAGTGACTGACCAATTCCTAAACAAACTACACTATGGAACAATAAAATTATTTTTTAGAGAATAAAGGAGAAACTTTTTTTGTAAGTTTGCCTCCCAGAAGCATAAGAAAACTCATGATTATTGCACAGGAGCCCTAAAATTGGTTCAGAGGGAGAAACAAGATACCAGCAGTATTAACAACTTCTCAGAGGGCTCAGAGGGGACCAGAGAGCTGACAGGTGTGGGCAAAGGTCCACGGTAGAAGTGTGGGAAGCATATACTGTGTGCATAGGAGCCCCACGGTAGAGAGAGCAGAGCAGCATGTCCTTCTTAGAGAACAAGCAAGACTATGGTTGGGAGTCTCCAGGCCAGTCTCTTCTGCTCACAGCTCACCAGCCAACTAGCATGGCAAGGGCAGACCACTTTCCCTTATGAAATCTACTTTCACCACAGGAACTGAGGTAGCTGGTCCAGGCACCATCTCTGGCTTCACTATCTCCTGTCCATGTAGTACAGTACTGGAATTAATGAGACAACCCCTGAATCTTTTCATCTCCATGGCAATGTTCCATTATTTCTCTAGTTCTTTAAACTTGTCTGTCAATCCAGCTATCATTTCCTGATTAACAGAAAAAAAGAAGCTGTGGATAAGAACATCCATTTTTAATATTTATACCAATATTGCTGTTTATAGCTCATGGGAAAAGTTACTCGTTTTGTACTTTTAACATGTTTTGTCATTTAAGGAGGAACCTTGGTGGTGCAGTGGTTAAAGCACTCGTCTGCTAACCCAAAGGTTGGCGATTCTAACCTACCTGTTGCTTGGCAGAAGGAAGATGTGGCATTCTGCTGCTGTAAGAATGACAGTCTTGTGCAGCAGTTCTAGTCTGTCCTGTAGGGTCGCCATGAGTCAGAATCAAATTGATAGCAATGAGTTTATGCCATTCAAATTCCACAATAATTCTCTGAAGTAACTTTAATTTATTGCATTTGTAGGCAAGGATACTGAGGTCCAGAGAAGGTAAGTTACTTACCCAAGTTCATCCAGGTAGTACATGTCAGAACCCTCACTGGGGTGATTCCAGAGCCCACTTATACATTCAAAGTCAGCCTGGACAATGTACTTTCAGTGTACTTCTGCTTTCATATTTACATTATCTTCCATCTTAACATCTTACTCTGACTTTGATATCTGCTTTTTCATCCTTTTGGTCTTTGGTATCTCCCTCTCTCTCCTCGACCCAAGATTCCCCTTCATGATTCTCAGACTGAGGTTCACCATATGGATTCTTGGCTCTGCTTGCTTCTTTTACTTTGCCATTCCCTTACTTTAAATGAGGATTCCCTAACCTTGCTGCAGTTGAACTTGTTCTTGGACCACCATGAGAAGGCCAAGATTACATCATTTTGCCTGGCAGCCAGGTTCCTGTTTCACTCTTTTCTCTACCTGTCAAATTAAAAAGAAGGTGATTTTACTCACTGCTCATATGTCAGAGACAATTTTGTTGCTGTTTCCAACCCCTGAAGAACTACCTTTCCCACTACTGTTTTAACTGATACCCCAGGACATTTTTAGTGGACTTCAGTCAATTCCTGTCCCATCTGCTATGAGTCAATACATACATGAAGACTCTGGAAAGTTAAACAAGTAACTTTTCTAATTAGTCATGGTGAGGCATCCCCCTCATTCAGCCTGTAAGTCTATCTTCATGAGCCCTAAATGGCATACCATTCTAAAGGACACATTTGAAGTTCCACCTTCCAGAATATGTAGGATTAATAATTATAATGAATGTTAAAATTACTGACTTCCCCATGGAGTTAGACAGCTAAGTCAACGTCACATTAGAGGTATGCCTCCTGGCTCAGTATCGTACAGTTCAGTTCTCAAAGGTCTTCAGGACCTTTTCCTCTTCAGACTATGTATCATCAGGCACAGCTTAC